AAAGAATGTTTGGCACCTATGATTAATCGATTATGGGGATGGCGCGCCGGCGCGTTTGGTTGGTACGAACTAGAACAGGATTCACCAGAACAGCGCGTTTGGTTGGGCCTGCACCTGTTCTGGGTCGGCCAGAACATGTTCTGCTTGCTCCGGCCTCCAGGCCGGAGCAGACCGAGCAGTTTCACTTTTGACAGTGAAACCTGGCTGGAACATCGATTTTGGTCTCAAATGATCACATTTTTCCACAAAAATATGCTCTGTTTCTGGAGTACCGTTTGGTTGGCATGAGGCTGCTCCATGTGCACCAGCTGTTCGATCCTGTTCTAGATCGTACCAACCAAACGCACCCTTAGCCGCGGCCCACGCATCAATGACGTAATGCATCATTATCAAGCTTGCAAGGAAGGACGCGCGTCGACGACTCGACGCCTTGCTTTGAATAAAATATAAAACTATTTTGGCTTCTCAGTGTCATGTAGAAAACAGACTTGACTTGGAAAAGGAAAAAAGCACGTCTTTGGCCTGCTTGTGTTGGAAGGGCCAGTCGACCTCCAAGCGTGCCACCTGCTTAGGTTTTGCTTCTTGCATGCTGGCAAGGACTCGAATAGTCGTAGGCCAGCAGCACAGCTGTGTTGTGTGTCCGTGGTATGAAGGAAAGCAAAACGTTTTTCAAGATTTGAGAAAATGTCACTGTCAACTTCCGCGTCCAATAAACTCCGTGCAGAAGGCAATACCTACTATGCCAGTGGAAAAGCGGTGGGCTTAGCGCCATGTGTCGCCTTGTCAAGATTCGAGAAGGCTTTGCAGCTCTACCGCAAGGCTGCCGAGGCTGCATGCTGCGAAGAGGAGAGATCCTCAGCGTTCAAAAACTCCGCATTGGCGAGCTGGAGAGCGGCTCTGTTGGATATTGGTCCAATCGGGCATCAAGATCCACGCGAGATCTATCACTGGTCAAATGCGCTGGAGAACTTTCACAAGGCTAAGCTATCTGGTCATGTCTGTGATCGCCAGGGCCGCGTGGAATGGGTAGATACACTTCTGAAATCTCTTCAAGAGTGTTTCTTTAATTTGCGAAGCGCCTGCTTTGAATTGGACTATGACAATCGTGTTGAGTTTATACTCAAAATCCAACAGCACTCCTTACCTCAAGATGCTTGCATCTGGGGACCTTTACAGGGTATGCTTTGTGGGATCAAGTACAATGAAAGCGTTCTGAAGCGGGAGGAAGGATGCTACAGAGATGCCATTATCAATGTACGCAGTGCAATGCAAGACATTGCCATCTTTGTGGAGCACCGCCGTCGTCACGGGCACTACCCGATGGTCTGTGATCTGAACTATGAAGATGATGAGCTCGAACGGCAAGCCCGGCAGCAGGAGAGGATCTGTGAGGCCATGCAGGCCTGCGCTATTGGCGACAAAGTACTGGAAAAGTCGTTGATGGACGAGGAGACGGCGAACTTTCTCATGGTCTGGGAGGCTGTGGATCACTACCATACTGCTCTGCTCCTTGCCAGAGACCAGGAGGTGGAGGAGGAAGCAAAGGCCTGCAGCCGTCTTGCCAAAACATTCAACCGAGTACTTATGCTCCAGGAGAAAGCAGAGTTTTACGCCAAGCACGCAATGGAGCTAGCAGAGTCCTTGATGCCGCGTAACCTCCACGACGAAGTTTGGTTCAAAGATGCCTCGGTTGTATTGGACAAGATTCGCTCGGTCAGACAGCGACAAGAGGAAGCACTTCTTGACGAGGAGATGAAAAAGTACAAAGAAGAGCTGAAGGATGAATTGGCTGCCTTGGAAGACCTGGTGTACAGGGGGAAATACCCACGCAAAGGCAAAGAAGCCACGTATCAAGAAATCCTCAGGTACATCTACGAGAAACACCCTCAAATACGTGAATCCGGCTACAAACTGCCAGAGAAATTCGGCTATGATCTCTTGAAAAGTACCTTCCGCAAAGCTCTGGTCCATTACCACCCTGACAAGGTGGACAGGGAGGAAGATGGCATGAAGTGGTACACATTATGCACGGAAATCTGCAAAGTCCTATCCAGAATCTACGAAACGCTGAAGTAGTGATGGGCTGAGTGATTTGACAAGAGGCCTGGTGACACTGAACACAAGCATTGTGCGTGGAAGTTTGTCCATCATTGCCACTGTGCAAGTGACGCCCACTAAGCGTAATGTGACAACTGTGCAAACTAAACTAAGCAAAGCTTATCTCCATACTCGAATGTATCTGACCTTGAATCCACTCGAATCAGCTCACAATCTGCCGAGCGACGCGCTATGAGTATGCCCCCCCCCCCCCCCCCCCCCGGAGTGCCTTGTGTTGGTGTGCAGTGGCGTGCCATTACGCCACACCTGTGCATAGCCAGAGTCGGCTACACAATTCATGCACACAGTACCTGCTTCACCGCTTCATTTGCTCTAGTTTACTCCGGGCCTGACAGTACTCGATACTTCGATGGGATCCCTGCTGAACTTTAGGTAGATCCGGACTTCATATTATTTTGTAGTTTACTCAATAACCACCGCGTACATACGTCTTTGCTATCCACACACCTGACAGCTCTGCAGCACCAGACGCCGGAAGTATGTTCCACCCTATTCTTACAAGCTCATATTTTACTGTTCTTGACCCCTCACCCCCATGCTAGCCTTTTGGGTTCTTGTTTTGAGTCTGCTTGCTATTGTTGTTGCTGTTGTTGTTGCTGTTGTTGCTTGTTGTTGTGTTTGCAGGAAAGTAGGAATAGCTTAGCTGCCCGGGTGTACAATTCCAGCCAACCGTTTAGTCAGTACTGTAATGATTTTCTTCTGATGTGTTCTAGCTCTTCTCTTGGCTGACCGTGCCGAGCACTGCACGTACACTGGCAGTAGCCACCGGATGTGATTTGTATTTTTTTAACATCTTTATTGTTTTCCTCTGCTTTTATCTCACAGTTTCTGCGCTTTTTTCTCCGTCCACCCAAGGTTCCAGCTCCTTTAATAATGTATCTCTCTCTCTCTCTCTCTCTCTCTCTCTCTCTCTCTCTCTCTCTCTCTCTCTTTCTCTCTCTCTCTCTCTCTCTTGTTGGTTTTTTTCTTTATTTGAATTCGCTAAAACCAAATGGACAGAACTGTCCAGTGACAAGGGAGCTAATGATGAGCATCATAATCACTATGCATCAAAACATCTCAGGGCAAAATGAGACAGATTGTAGAAGGAGGGTTTGCACAGCACTAGTACATAGAGGGGAGAACGAGAACAAAGGCACGGCAGAAGTCTAAGCAAGAAAGCAATCCTTGCCAGAGATGTTTTTGTGCACCAAAAACGGAGAGAGAGAGCTCTCTCTCTCTCTCTCTATTTCTCATCGTCGTCATCGATACGCTAGTCAACAGAACATTAAAGGGGAACTCCACGAAAAAATGAAAATTTGATAGCCTGTAGAGTTTCGGGCGCTGAGTCGAATGGTCTTGGTCCGAAGTCTCTACGAGAAAGCGTTCTTGAGATATTTCAATTTTAGCCACGCCCCATACCAATGTATGTGTGACGTCATTGTGGCAATGTGCGAAAATACTTGGATTTTGAATCTCACTTTCTTCAGGACGAAAGTCACTTCAGAAAGTAGTTTGCCAAGTCGCCTGAGCCGCTGCAATGCCAAATTGTTGTGTTGTTGATTGTGCCAGTATCACATCAACCTCCTGGGGTTAGTTTTCTCAAATTCCCAAAGGATGGAGACCTGGCAAAGCGCCGAGATGTTGCAATGCGTCGTGAAAATTTCAAGCCTATTTTCGCAGCACGAGCTATGTTTGCTCGCTGCATTTATGATCCAGAGGGACTTGAGAGCTGAGTTTTGACGAGTACGCCGTCCAGGAAAGCCCTCATCAGTGTACCAGTGCCCTCCGAACCGTGAGCCTCCAGCAAAGCGAACTCAACAAGCTGCAACTGAGAAAGCAGGGCGAGATACGTCCCATCAGGATCAGAAGAGTACATCACCCCATCAACTCCGACTGCAGCTAGCTGATGAACGATATTACCCCAGTAACTTTGCGCATACCAGTACTCAAACTGTGCACATCTGTCATCAACTGGGACGCAAACAGACAGACCCCCAGCAAGTACGAAGGTTACAGAACTGTTTGCTTGCGATGTGCAGGCAGCATGCACGACGAACTGTCTCACCAATCCTGCCAAACTGAACCAGTGTAAGTTGATTGCGTGGATATGTCTCTATTTATAACAGCTACCCTACTTCTAGGCATGGTTGCATGAATACCATATCACTCAGAGCAGTTGTTAGAAGTCTGGACAGCCTTGGAATAGTGCAAGTAAAGTGAAACAAAAATATATTACACTCCGAGCTCCACGCTTGCGGGACCACCAGGCCAAAAAAAATCTAATTTCGAACAAGGAATGGGTTCTGGTTGTATGCGAAAGAAAAGTAAGTGAAGACCTATTGTGCAAGGAATACAGTGGGAACTACACATATTATACACATGCACTCACACCATCACCCACATGCGCGCGCGTGCGTGTGCGTGCACACACACAAACACAACAACACACACACATACGCACCCACATACTCAAACTCACTCGCACGCACGCTAGCCTAAGGATAGTACATATGCTGTAGTAGTGGTATACTTAGTGAAATGACTATGTGTACATCTAATGACGCCGCCACTCCACGCCAGAAGACAACAAACATCTGCTGCAACATTTGTGCTCCCGTCTCTTATGGGCAACACAGGGAATGAAACGAACAATGCAATTGAGAACTAGAGTCGTCCTGTACGGTGAAGTTTCCATTTTCTCATACAGCAGTATATTGTCTAAGCAAGTGTGTTTTCTCCACATTCTTTTTGCCATGCAGGTATATCACAGTGTCATGCCAAACTACATTCTCAAACGCATTCGTTTCTCAATTCTGGGGATGATTGGACACGCACATCTCGCAGCTCTTGACGACGTCAATGTCAACCGTCGCCACAGCACAACCAAAAAGACCGCGATAGGAAGGTATAAAGTCCAGTTCTCAAAGCATAAAGAAGACTGTGGCCAAATAGAAAATTATACGACAGAAAGAGCTATGAGTATGTTGACAAGCTCATGTGTGAGGTGGTAGCGGTTGCAAATGGCAACCTCCATGTTCCTGCCTTGGAGAAGCGTGTTTCCCTGCCAAATTCCAGGTGGAAGCCTCCTGAGAAGGCTGAGGTGGTGCAGGATTTGGATATCTTTGCCTGATGGTATTCACAACGCAGGCTGGAAGACGACAACGAACGTGCTTGCCCAATTTGCCGTGTACATAGTGTGTACTGCCTGTGTGCCGCATAGCGTAGAGATCTACACAAACACAGAATGTCATATGGAATGTGTATGATGAGTGCTTGTACACATACCACATTGCTGTACCGTAATAATTATTATAGTCAAATACTCATTTACTCTACATATGCGCTGTATTGCACCTACCGGTACCTACCTGCACTTTCAGTGCGCGCGCCATACTAATTTAGTGTCCACTGGTACAAAGATGGAGGGTCTTGTAGAATTTACCATAATTGCTGATTTCAAATTGAATTCCAATGATCTGGGGGATGAATACTGATTAGGACGCGTTCGATTACCTACTAGTACAGAGATGTCTTGGTCAGAAAGTACAGATTTCTTACTCTCCTGCCAGAATTTGTGCATTATTTTGGTGTACGCTTTCTTGACCCCACGCTTGTACGTTGCATGCCATGGTATACTAGAAAACGAGTTTATTGACAAAGTCTATCGCTTGAAACGATAAAGTATGGGTTCGGGTGTGATCAAATGCACCCATGGTGCTCATAAACTGTGTGCAGTGCTCTCTTCACCAACAGAACACTACCTACCATACTTTGTAGATCTTGTACCAATCCAAGGGAAAATGACAAAGACAAATGTGAGTCATGCATGAAAACTTGTGATAGCACAGTCTATAGTACAGAACAACATTGTTCGTGCTATGCCTGACAACAATAATTAGTTACACACAAAACATTACGCGCATCGATCCTCACAAGATAAGTCAAGAAATACTCGGAGCAAAGAGAAATTTGTTTGTGTCATGCATGAAACTTGTGATAACTACCAGTACAATGTCTTTCTTGTGCGACGCCTACTGTAGTGCGCCTGACAACAATAAATTTCCCCCAAAAAATAAGAATAAGTGTATCATGCTGATACGCGACACGGCTGTTAGCTGCACTTGGATCGCGGCAACTTAGTTTTCTGCACGTGAACCATGAAAAATCAATGCATGCTCATGCATGTTCATGCATAACCAGTCAGCTGGCCTGCTCGCCCACGCATTTGACAGGTAACAATTCCATCAAATTTGAGATATCGCTTCGTTCTAAGTCTCAAAACAGTTCTGAAGTCACCAAACCACGCTGGTAATCGATGGCTATTCAATGTTAACATCTTCAGGAAGACTTCAGCCGTTTCCCGAGAGTTTGGGCATCGTTGCCGTTATTTTTCACGGTGTTCTTCTTCGTCCTGTCTGGAGTTGCAATTGCATCCTGGAATTATTTGAAAGGTATTTCGTGCGGGCTGTGGGGGGTTCCAACAGGCATAAACTGACATCGCTATAGGATAACTGGTAACTTTCACCCTTCAAGGAGGTAGAGCAATGAGAATTTTTTTGTGGCGGTCGTCCAATTTTTGTGGCGGTCGTGGCTGTATTTGTGCACTTCCAAGGCTTTCATTCTGCCTGATACTACTCTGTACTGTATGGGAATCGTTGTTTAGGCACATGTAGCTGTCTTATTTGGTAGATCTGCTGTTTTCAATCACTTGGGACACTTTGTCTAGCCTATTTGTCTTTCGTTCGTGCCATCTATCAGTTTTGTGGGGTGCATTGACCTGTACTTGTGAAGTTCTCGAGTAAAGACCCTAATTCTTGACTGGAGTCACGTCTTGAATTGAATTTGCTGGGTGAGCCCTCGTTCACGCAGTTGTACTTATCGTAATAGTCAATATCTGCTTGCTGGACGGACTAGCGGCTAGAATAGGGATGACCAAATGGTCCAAGTGTGTACTAGTACACGATTATTGTTTCCATCATCGTGAAATGAGCGTTGTGGAATTGCAGTCGTCTGCCTTTGGCACTGAGGACACGAGGAGAGTTGATTGTTACTTCTGCTCAGCAATGAAGCGATCATCAGCTCTCTTTGTTCTAATTATTGAGAGGACATACCGGCATCGCAATCAAGTAAAGATTAGGCAAACCTCGCCAACCTCCAAAGAGAGTCGAAGATATTTTCTCCAAATGCAAAGACTTTTGTGACTTGCATTTGCGTGCATACATGAGCAAGTCACGGACCACGGCACGTGCGCGGTTACCATGCCATCTCGAACCGACGCCATCTTTCTAAGTTGCCGCTTCTTGACAGCCGTGGCGATCCTCACAAGACAAGTCAAGGCAAACTAATTGAGGCTTACCTAATGTCAGACTCTTCTGTCACTGGCATTGGCGGCTTCTGCATGTCGAGATAACCTCGAAGAGCAGTGATGAGCACAGCCTAATGCAAGGATACGATCTCGTAATCTGCGAGGTCCGCTACGCAAGAAACCTTGGGCCGTCTTGTCGACAGCGACGGCAGCATCCTACCAGCAAAATCATTCCCGCGGGCTGGGCATGGCTATACACTTTTGTCCACGCTCGCACCAGTCGGAGTCCCAAACGAATCGAGATTCTGGTGGCCAAGCTACTCGTCTTCTGTCGGACGCAGCTGCTGACGCATCTTCTTCCTCCACATTTGTTACACGCGATGGCAGCTCCTCAGCAGAGTATCTGGGCTCCCTGCCCCAACCATACGCGGCGGTGGGCTGTTGGTCGTCCTCACTGGCCTCAGCATCGCTGCCTTCATTGCTGGGGACAGAGGATTGTTCGGAATCGCCCATCTTCCCTTGAAATACCAACTAAAATTAGTGCTTGTAGACTGGCGAAGAGAAACGACTTTGCCACAATGACGTAGGCAGCCCGTGATGATGTAACCAAATGGCCGCATGACGTCAGGGCGCGGCCCCCGTTTTTGCAATTTCAAAGTGAAATATCTCAAGAACGCTTCGTCGTAGAGACTTCGGACCAAGACCATTCGACTCAGCGCCCGAAACTCTACAGGCTATCAAAGTTTCATTTTTTCGTGGAGTTCCCCTTTAACGAGAGAGCTTGAAAGCTCAGGGCCCTAAGCTATGCTTTTTTGCCTAGGTCATCATGCATGTTATTCGAACACATGGAAACGTTTTGCAATACGATGATGTAGTTGATCAGTTCAAATAACATGCATGATGAGCTAGCCTAGGCAAAAAAGCAAGGCGTAGGGCCTTAGGCCTTCAAGCTCTCCCGTTGATTGTCTGTTCACCAATTTGACTAGCCTACATGCAGTAGTGACTCAGCATTCTATTTATACAACACCTGCGCCCATTAGAACACTGCAATCTACCCGATCGTTACATACCCGGCCCATTCGCAGCACACCCTAAACATTCGAACGGTAACGCGACACACGGTCTAAGGTCTTTATAAATCAAACCGCGACCATTACAATAGTGCGATCTAAACCATTCCGCTAATTACTCGAATGCGACAAAGTCTTTTTTTATTAAGGGGGTTAGGTACAGTTAGGGCCAAAAAAATAATTTCAACATCAGCTCAATCTGACATCAGGTTTGAATAGGTACAGCCTTATATTTTCGCTTAGCAACATCAGTTTTTCAATTGACTGAATAGGTCTTGCCAAAAACACAATTTTCCTTGATATTAAACACAAAATATCGCAAAATCCGAAAATTGATGAGAAATCGTCCATAACACCAAATAGGACAGAACATATGACATAAAATTATACAGACTGTTCGAGGTATTGACTAAGATGATATCAACACCGAAAAATGTACACTTTGGTTGACGATGGGATCCAGGTCGTCATTTCCTGGAGAGGAACAAAAAGACGCAAAAATGAAATTTTGAATATTTTTGCAGCTTATTTTTGAATTTGCCCCATATGTGGATACTTCAAATACGTTCTATAAGTGGGTTGGAACAGGTTTACCACGGCGAAAATAGGGGTCACCGTGCATATTCTGGAGAAAAATCCAAAAAACTGTCAAAATTTGCCTAAAATTGGTAAATTTACGTATCTATAATATTATTGCTTGTACTTCTCTGCTGCTGCTGCTTTGGTCATAACTTATTGGATTTTTGGCTGTTAGGTGTTGCATAAACTCACTAGAGCCCTCGGCGTTCAGAACAATACAAGGATGGAATAGCTGAAGTAGTGAATTTGCCAGAAAACCCTGGGTGCACGCATTATCGATAGGTACTTTTCTCCATGATTGCTCTCCTGTCGGTACTTGGTTTTGATACATGTACATGTAGCTGTGATAGCGCTTAGCACAGCCCCATATCAAACTACAATGAAAGCTGACATGTTGGAACGAATCAGACAACATTGAGTCCTCTTGTTCTTCAACTATGCGAGCTTGAACGTGTCCCCACACTGGCAAAAATGATGGTATTTTACGGTGCGCACAAAAAGTGAAGCACTGTGCCACAGGGCGTTACTTACAGGTGGGTTGCTGCTCGCTCTTGGCTAGGTGTTCAGCCACCGCAAATATAATCTTCCTTGAAGCTGTCACCCGCTTCTTACCTCCGACTTGCTCCTTCATCAGTCTGGAAATGGCTGGCTCACCACTTCGTTTGTAGGACAAGACAAAGTGCTTCATCACCAACCCACTAGCAGCTGCCCGCACTGCAACTGAGTTTAAAAGGCCGCGGTCACACATGAAAAGCTTGCACCGCTTTTGCGGAGGCGGAAAGCGGAACTACCGCAGCCGCTTTGGCGGACCACACGATGCAGCGGTCACACATACATGTACATGTAGACTACTGTGCTCCTCAACGCTCCGCTTTGGCGCAGAGAATGCAAATGCAGCACGTCCTATGAAATTTTAGATGTTCTTGTCCGAGGCAGGCAGGCATAGTGGGATGGTCTAAGACCATGATTGAGAAACAGAGGGTACCAGGTTCAAGTCCTGCTTGGAAGCGGAAGGATTTTTTCCAGCCGTGCTGCGACCCACAGTTAAAGGGGAACTCCACGAAAAAATGAAACTTTGATAGCCTGTAGAGTTTCGGGCGCTGAGTCGAATGGTCTTGGTCCGAAGTCTCTACGACGAAGCGTTCTTGAGATATTTCACTTTGAAATTGCAAAAACGGGGGCCGCGCCCTGACGTCATGCGGCCATTTGGTTACATCATCACGGGCTGCCTACGTCATTGTGGCAAAGTCGTTTCTCTTCGCCAGTCTACAAGCACTAATTTTAGTTGGTATTTCAAGGGAAGATGGGCGATTCCGAACAATCCTCTGTCCCCAGCAATGAAGGCAGCGATGCTGAGGCCAGTGAGGACGACCAACAGCCCACCGCCGCGTATGGTTGGGGCAGGGAGCCCAGATACTCTGCTGAGGAGCTGCCATCGCGTGTAACAAATGTGGAGGAAGAAGATGCGTCAGCAGCTGCGTCCGACAGAAGACGAGTAGCTTGGCCACCAGAATCTCGATTCGTTTGGGACTCCGACTGGTGCGAGCGTGGACAAAAGTGTATAGCCATGCCCAGCCCGCGGGAATGATTTTGCTGGTAGGATGCTGCCGTCGCTGTCGACAAGACGGCCCAAGGTTTCTTGCGTAGCGGACCTCGCAGATTACGAGATCGTATCCTTGCATTAGGCTGTGCTCATCACTGCTCTTCGAGGTTATCTCGACATGCAGAAGCCGCCAATGCCAGTGACAGAAGAGTCTGACATTAGGTAAGCCTCAATTAGTTTGCCTTGACTTGTCTTGTGAGGATCGCGTATCAGCATGATACACTTATTCTTATTTTTTGGGGGAAATTTATTGTTGTCAGGCGCACTACAGTAGGCGTCGCACAAGAAAGACATTGTACTGGTAGTTATCACAAGTTTCATGCATGACACAAACAAATTTCTCTTTGCTCCGAGTATTTCTTGACTTATCTTGTGAGGATCGATGCGCGTAATGTTTTGTGTGTAACTAATTATTGTTGTCAGGCATAGCACGAACAATGTTGTTCTGTACTATAGACTGTGCTATCACAAGTTTTCATGCATGACTCACATTTGTCTTTGTCATTTTCCCTTGGATTGGTACAAGATCTACAAAGTATGGTAGGTAGTGTTCTGTTGGTGAAGAGAGCACTGCACACAGTTTATGAGCACCATGGGTGCATTTGATCACACCCGAACCCATACTTTATCGTTTCAAGCGATAGACTTTGTCAATAAACTCGTTTTCTAGTATACCATGGCATGCAACGTACAAGCGTGGGGTCAAGAAAGCGTACACCAAAATAATGCACAAATTCTGGCAGGAGAGTAAGAAATCTGTACTTTCTGACCAAGACATCTCTGTACTAGTAGGTAATCGAACGCGTCCTAATCAGTATTCATCCCCCAGATCATTGGAATTCAATTTGAAATCAGCAATTATGGTAAATTCTACAAGACCCTCCATCTTTGTACCAGTGGACACTAAATTAGTATGGCGCGCGCACTGAAAGTGCAGGTAGGTACCGGTAGGTGCAATACAGCGCATATGTAGAGTAAATGAGTATTTGACTATAATAATTATTACGGTACAGCAATGTGGTATGTGTACAAGCACTCATCATACACATTCCATATGACATTCTGTGTTTGTGTAGATCTCTACGCTATGCGGCACACAGGCAGTACACACTATGTACACGGCAAATTGGGCAAGCACGTTCGTTGTCGTCTTCCAGCCTGCGTTGTGAATACCATCAGGCAAAGATATCCAAATCCTGCACCACCTCAGCCTTCTCAGGAGGCTTCCACCTGGAATTTGGCAGGGAAACACGCTTCTCCAAGGCAGGAACATGGAGGTTGCCATTTGCAACCGCTACCACCTCACACATGAGCTTGTCAACATACTCATAGCTCTTTCTGTCGTATAATTTTCTATTTGGCCACAGTCTTCTTTATGCTTTGAGAACTGGACTTTATACCTTCCTATCGCGGTCTTTTTGGTTGTGCTGTGGCGACGGTTGACATTGACGTCGTCAAGAGCTGCGAGATGTGCGTGTCCAATCATCCCCAGAATTGAGAAACGAATGCGTTTGAGAATGTAGTTTGGCATGACACTGTGATATACCTGCATGGCAAAAAGAATGTGGAGAAAACACACTTGCTTAGACAATATACTGCTGTATGAGAAAATGGAAACTTCACCGTACAGGACGACTCTAGTTCTCAATTGCATTGTTCGTTTCATTCCCTGTGTTGCCCATAAGAGACGGGAGCACAAATGTTGCAGCAGATGTTTGTTGTCTTCTGGCGTGGAGTGGCGGCGTCATTAGATGTACACATAGTCATTTCACTAAGTATACCACTACTACAGCATATGTACTATCCTTAGGCTAGCGTGCGTGCGAGTGAGTTTGAGTATGTGGGTGCGTATGTGTGTGTGTTGTTGTGTTTGTGTGTGTGCACGCACACGCACGCGCGCGCATGTGGGTGATGGTGTGAGTGCATGTGTATAATATGTGTAGTTCCCACTGTATTCCTTGCACAATAGGTCTTCACTTACTTTTCTTTCGCATACAACCAGAACCCATTCCTTGTTCGAAATTAGATTTTTTTTGGCCTGGTGGTCCCGCAAGCGTGGAGCTCGGAGTGTAATATATTTTTGTTTCACTTTACTTGCACTATTCCAAGGCTGTCCAGACTTCTAACAACTGCTCTGAGTGATATGGTATTCATGCAACCATGCCTAGAAGTAGGGTAGCTGTTATAAATAGAGACATATCCACGCAATCAACTTACACTGGTTCAGTTTGGCAGGATTGGTGAGACAGTTCGTCGTGCATGCTGCCTGCACATCGCAAGCAAACAGTTCTGTAACCTTCGTACTTGCTGGGGGTCTGTCTGTTTGCGTCCCAGTTGATGACAGATGTGCACAGTTTGAGTACTGGTATGCGCAAAGTTACTGGGGTAATATCGTTCATCAGCTAGCTGCAGTCGGAGTTGATGGGGTGATGTACTCTTCTGATCCTGATGGGACGTATCTCGCCCTGCTTTCTCAGTTGCAGCTTGTTGAGTTCGCTTTGCTGG